TTCTTTATGGAGTTGCCTTTGTAAAGTGTTTCCTGACAGGAGCTGTTTACAGGAAGAATAAAAATTTTATGTTACAACAACTTCACTGATTCCCAGTCCATTTCCAGGCACAACTGATTTATAAAGTCAGTCTTGACTTATAAAGCCCTAAACAATAGATCATTGGCGATTTGAGAAACTGTATTTCCCCATATGGTCCTCCTCAGGTTTTGAGATTTTGTAGAGAGGCTTTTATTTCAGTTCTCCTGCTCTTACAGGCACACAAGAGAGGATATTTTCAGTGGATGCTCTCAAGCTGTAGAACTCCCTTCTATGGTAGACCGCATCAGCCTCCTCGCTGTTATCCTTCTGCCAGCAGGCAAAGACCTTTGATATAGAAAAGTCTTGAAAAAGAAAATCACTGCTAAACAAGGGATTTTATTAGATATTTTCTCCTTTATATTTTAAAATGTTTTAAAATTATAAAGTGATATTATTCAGTAATTTAATATGATTAACTTTTTAAAATATTGTCATGTATTGTATTGTTAGTTCTTTTAATAAATTCGTTAGAATTGCTTTTATGTCACCCTGGGTCCCTCTGCTGGAAAAAAAAGAGTTTGACAGAAGACAGACAGAAGCAGTCCAGATTCAAATAGTTGAGGTAAAGGACATAGAGTTCAACAGCTAGTTATAAAACTACTGTTATATAAAAAGAAGGTTGTAGTTCAGCTCAGTACTGACCACAACAGCTATAACAGCAATATCTAATCCCTCTGTGTAAAAATACAGGTATAAAGATTTAAAATAATTGAGGAAAAACTAGATTTCATTAGATTAGTCTGTGATCTGAATGTATATGTAAATTCTATGTATATGTAAATTAATTACGTAATAAAAATGATGTAGTTTGGTAACATATAAATTATTTATTTTTACAAACAGAATTATTGAATAATACTTGCTTGCCTAAATTCTGATTTCTTGTTGTCGTTATGTGCTTTCAAATTGCTTCCAACATCAGTAATCTTATGAATGACTTCCAAAAGGTAACAGCCCTGCTCTTGCAAACTCAAATTTCCATTACTGAGTCAATCTGTATTTTATTTGGTTTTCCTCTTTTCCCCTTTAACTTTGCTAGCATTGTTGTCTTTTTTTTAGTGAATCTTTGTTTTATCATAATGTGCTCAAGGTAGCCTGAATTCTGTCATTTTTGTTTGTTTGCTTCTGTGGGAAATTCTGCTGGCTGTAAAGGCCTCCTCCAACACCACATTTCATTCCCCCCCCATTGGGTTTCTTCGCTGTCCAACTTTCACATCTTTACATAGTATACCACTGTATAGATAATCTTGGTCTTGGTTTCCAATGATACATTTTGATGCTTGCTCATCTTTTAAGAGTTCCTTTTCAGCTGATCTTCTGAATCTCCCTGACTTCTTACCTCTGAAATAAATTTTACCAGAATTTGAAAGCATCTAGGAATACAATGCACCCTGAATAAAGAGCATACGTTGTCCACTGGTTTTGGTCCTTTCAGTTAGCCAATAAAATAAATTAAGACAAGAAGGTAACATAGTTAACAACCAAGGATGACCTCAGAACAATACCTCAAGGGTTATTTCTAATCTCAGCCATTTTAAAACGTTGTTTCAAATATAGAGCACTTTAAATTTTTCACCTCAATTTTTAACAAGTTTCAATATATTACAATAATAGCACATAGTAATGACACTATTATCCTCCTTGAAGAAACTAGAGAGCAGTCTCCATGAGATTTGATTATGTACTTCTTTTTCCCCATTTGTTATTTTCTTCTGTTGGTTTCCACTGGCCATTATAATAGTTACAGTATAATGTCTCCATGTGTCACTTGCTAAAAAGCTGCATTCAGGATTCTGACCCTACTTCTTACATCTTTTGCTTGTCCTTAACAATTTTTTTGTGTTTCTTTCATCATTATCTAGGTTTTTATTTTTATCACAGAAATTTTCTTCACATTCCTCCTAAATATTATCTGTGATCTCAGTCCACAGTCAGTTGAGTTTAGTAATACAAATCTGCAGACTTTAAATTCATCAGAAATATTGTTTAACATATTTTGGTACTACAATTATTTTAGCGTTATTTTCTGCTTTACTTTGATGTTGGATATTAGCAGTTCATGATCTGCTCTTAGTCTGCTCTTAGTCTTGTTTTGGCAGAGAGAATACAGCTTCTCCATCTCCTGGTTCCAATGAGGTAATCTATTTCAGTGGTCCCCAACATTCTTGCCTCCACGGACTGGTTTAGCAGGAGGGCATCCGTGCGTGTGTGGAAGGGGCTGTGTGCGTGTCCATCCATGAGTGGGAGGTTCCATGGGAGGGGCTGTGTGTGTGTGTGGGGGAAGGGCTGTGGGAGGGGCCATGCATGCATGGGAGGGGCTGTGGGGGGGAAGGGCTGTGCATATGTGGGAGGGGCCGTACATGCATGCATCTGCGCATGCAGGGGGCAGGAGACTTGCCTCCACAGCCGAGTCCTGGCAAGGCCACGGACCAGGGGTTGGGGACCCTTGATATATTTGATTTCTGTATTGGCCATCTGGTGGTACTCATGTGTACAGTCATGCTTGGTTGCTTGAAGCACATATTTGCAGCTTCACAGAACTCTACGAGCTGTTCTCCTGCTTCATTTCTGACCCCTAAACAAATTTTCCAACAACCTTTTTTCCCCCGCTTTGTTTCATACCTTTGTGTTCCAGTCATCTATGACTATAAGCATGCCTTGTTTTGTTGTGTGATCGATTTCCTCCTGGCTTCCTCCATAAAACCTTTCAGTTTAATCTTCTTCTGCATCTGTAGTTGAGGAGTTCTGCAGTGGCCCAAAGTCTGCATATTCTGTGCATTTACAAGTGATCTTTGTAGTACTTCACATGTTATCAAAGTGCTTTAGCTTTATACTGAGGCAGACAATTTGAAGCAGGAAGTCAAAGAATGGAAGAAACAAGATTTCTTTAGGAAGAGCGACTTAATGCTGGGTCTGCATTGTCTGAAGTTTTTAATGAACGAATGGGGACAAAGGAGTGATATATAGTATGTATGTATGTATATGTGTGTATACATATGTACACACCCATACCCATACACACACACACCCATATGCACATAAATACCCTCAATTGTCTATGGCATCTGTTAGACATATTGGGTAAGAGGATTGTTGATCCTCAAATAGAGACGATCTCTACTTTATCCCTGGGAGGAGCTGCTCTGAACAAACTCATAGAAATCTACAAAGTGTCCCCAGTGAATACAAAGGCCAGAAGTACCGAGATGGAACGTTCCGGGAGGCTGGGTGGCCAGGAGAGTGTAAATCAATATTCCGAAAGGAAGGCCGTCACACTGATGAAGTCAGGGCATTAGCAAATCAATACATTGTTGGGGCACCTCCACCACCCTGCCGAAAAAAAAACCATCCAACTTTATTGTCAAGTTGTCTTGACATGTTCACAAAATTTTACACAATGTCCAGATATCTAAGTGTAACCCTTAAGACACCTTCTTTTACCTATTTTTCTTACTACAGCGTCTTTTACCTCTTTTCTTACTACAGAAATATCTGTTTAAAAGGGGAAACAGCATATGCTTCTCTGTAGGTTTGATTTTCCCATTCAATTTAGGAAGAGAAGCACCTCATAATTTGCTGAGGTCCAAACTCTTTAAGAAGAGCAAATGAATTGCTAAAATTTATACGGACTGTGGTGAAAAGGTGCTGAAGGAGCTTCTGGCTGGGACCTATATATAGACAGAACAAGATCAAGATAGAGTAAGGCACTGTCTGTTTTACAAAACCATGTCTTTCTGGCTATGTCAATAAGTAACTTTGTTCTGTTTCAAACCTCTGTGATGGAAACTTAATACTTTGCGTTAAAAGATAAGAATGGAAAATCAGTTCAATTTTAGACCGAATTGACACTAATAGAGGGCTATGGGATTTAACTCTTAAATTTTTGCAAAATCAAAATTTCTGCCCTTTCTTGATATCTAGGCAATCACGGAAGGACTTAGAGCAGGAGACGTTTTTCTTTGCTACCAAACTGATAAGGATTGACAGGGAATGGGTTCACCACCAACTCATACTATGACTTTTGGCTGGAAAATTGAAGGCGGGGTTAATGTCGCTGGCCTCAGATTTCGTCCTGCCTCTTTCTCTCGGTTACCACGGCAACTGCTGAAAAATTAGGCAGGGAGGTGGGAGAATGTCTGAGGAGTGCTAGTTCTTTGTGGAATTGAAATATTTGTTTTAGTCATTTATCCCATGTAAGAACTGGAAGCACAATTTAGTCCTGATTTCAGCGACTAGAGATGTAATGCAAGCATTCCTCCCACGTTATTAAAAATAAATAAATAAATGCAAGGCTGGGAGAGTATTCTTAATTTAATTGGGATAGGAGAGTTGATCGCTTTAAACATCTGGTTGCATTTCAGCCAGACAGTCTGGTTCTCCATTGCTGCTGTAGTGAATTTACAGACTGCTTCATACGCTGCTTTCTCTAACAAAAGGATCACGTATCAGAAAGCTTGTGTAATACACGAGGTTGGAGGGAAATGCCTTTTGAATGTTGCTGTGCAAACATTTCAGACTGCCTTCCCTCCCTTCTCCCTTGCCTTGTTTATCTTTAGCAATAGTGGGTTATATTCTCATTTTGCTTGTTGGTTCAAATGCCATGCCATTTGTTTCTCTACTCTTCTCTGTTTTAACAAAAGATTCCTGCTAGAAAGACTTGTTCTATATCCCTACCAGGCTCATGCTCCTGAATTCACAAAGCTTTATTCATAACCCATTGGTTTTCACTGCTGATTTACCAGCTTTAACTTGAGTTCTGCCTTAGTTTGCTCTACTACCTTCCTGATAGAATTTTTTCAAATCGAAATGTTTTACTTTTAACTGTAGTCGCATAAGTCTCTGAAGCTCAGTAGGTGGGCAGGTTCTGCCTTGCCAAGTAAAGTTGAAATAGCTATCTTTTGTTCTTTTTAATTCTCCAGTGCTAGGCACAACTGCTTTCAGTTATCCCTTCTTTACCCTGGAGGTCAGATGGAGACAATAAGCTTTGTAACAAAACAGAAAACACCTTTAAGAAGCTGCATCTTAATTACTGCTTCAAACCCAGCCCACTCTTGACAGTAGGCATCTCAGAGTATCTATACAATATAGAGCTAGATAACATGATTTTCTGCTTAAGCTTAAATGTTTGCTTGATATGTATACTGGAATTAAAATGAAATCAGGCTTCCTTATGAAATATAAGTAAAGCTTTGCATAACTGGTCAGACTTGTCAGATTTCCCATCAGAATTTCTTTAAAGAAAGTTCAAGGTTAATAGAAGTCTGTCCTCTCCAGACTCTTCGCTGCCTACTTTTGAGGTCAGGGACATTTTGCCAGTTTCCATACCTTGGGCATTTCATGTGTTTCAGTTTCAGTGACAGAGGTTCTGAGAATACAACACGAAGTCCTTTTCTATCCTAGAATGCAAGAAATCCCACAATGAGGAAAGCCACATTTTGTGAATCATTTTGTTAGTTACAGATTTAAGGGAGCTGGCCATTTTCAGACCAACTCCATGCCAAACCTGAATGGCAATCTCAATCTCTTAAGGTTATGTTTCCTCAAAATGCAAGACTTTTGGGGAGAAGAGGCAAGAGAGGAGTTGAGCCTTGCCTGTTGAGTTACAGTACTTATCTGGGAACAACATCACTTTCATCAACTATTGTTCTTTTTAGGAAATAGAGTCTGTTTTTATTTACAAACTAGTTTAAGAAAGCATAAATGAATATCCCTGTACCTTAGGAGGTGTGCTTTTAAAGGGCAATGTGAGATTTTTAGAATGTGTGTGTGTGTGTATTTATGTGTCTATGTGTCATATAATGACTTTGTTCATTTGCTTTTCTCACATTTTAGAACTGGTCCGTGTGTGTATCACGAAGCCAAAGGAGGAACTATAAAGTGGTGAACCGTATTGCAGGAAGTGGCACTGTACTGTTCTCACTGTGGGAATTGAGATTCAAAGAAAATCTTAAGATGGCAACAGAATTTTCAGCAAGTCAGATATATAAAACATCTGTTGCACAATGCAGTTACACAGATGTTTGTAGAGCCAGACAAGCAGAACAGATAACATTTTATTCCAGCAACATGAGATATCAGTTATTTTTAAGTCCAATTTGAAGTTTTCAATTATTTCTAAAGTCTGAATTAACTTGGGGCCTTGTTTGCTTAGGCCATAAGATCTATCAGAGATACCCAGCTCACATACGGTGTAATCTATTTGGCTGATGCAGTGATATGAAATTTCCAGTTAATTTTGAAGCCATGGGAGGGGGGAGGCTTTTTCTAAACTGGAATGTGGATTAGTGCTAAAGTTGGAGTACCACAGAATGTTAATGGCTAGTACCAGGGAGAAGGAGGCCATCCAAGCGTGGCCAGACACAATCACTCTCTAATACTGGGTTACAGTGCTTGGACAGAGAAGTTTTGCACAATTGTAGTGTTGACAGGAACCTCATGCTGCAGTAGTTACACTGCAGTGAAGACTGCTTATGACCCGGGTTCAGGTAGCCAGCTCAAGGTTGACTCAGCATTCTATCCTTCTGAGGTCAGTAAACTGAGTACCCAGCTTGCTGGGGGTTGGTGCCAATGTGTAGCCTGCATAACTAAAATTGTAAACTGTCCAGAGAGTGCTTTAAGTGCTGTGGGGTGGTATATAAGCAGAACACTTCAACAGTGACTGGTTTGGAGTGTTTAACCTTTTAAATATCTTTCCTAAGCAACAATGCTGTGAAGGTCACTGTTGAAGCTGAAGGGGCTACAGTGGATGGTGCAGAGGTCAATGTGAGAAGCACCTGGAAAAGTCCCGGAGATCTGCAGAAGGTCATTTCTTAGTGTGGAGTGGCAATGAAAGGATTTCAGCGAGGTACCGGCATTGCATTGAATCTGACTATAGAAAGACTGACAGACTTGGCAGGTTGAGCGTTCTGTTCTTTGCCAGGGTGAATGAAACACCTATTCTGTCTATGAGGGGAGTTTTACCTTTACAGGTAGAACTGTACTTAAAGAATGGCCTTGAGTCCATAGGGAAAATTGAGGTCTATTAAGGGTGATATAGCATAGGCATCCTTCAGTCTCGAGAGACTATGGTAACATTCTCTGAATCGAGGAGTGTCCTTTCCAGAGCATGAAGCCTGGATAAAGTAATGGAGGATAGGCTGTTACCCAGGCAGCAGATCCCCCCTCTCCACGTTGCTGAAATGCTCGAATGGAAAGGCAAGAGCTAATACAACTGGTTCCAGCAACGTCGCAGGAGTTGGCAGAACGACACAGACTGCCTTCGGTATTCCAGCTCCGGATTTTGCCTCTAGGTTAACGCCTGAAGCCTTTTCCATCAGTGAATATAGCCACAAGGCAGCAGAGGTTTGAAATCGGAGTTTTCCTTCTCCTAGATGGGCTGCCTTCCATGGCTGACAAGCCCCACCTACCCGGCCTGCTCTTTAATAGTGCAGAAGTATGATCCGACCCTTAAAACTTTCCTGCCTCCCAGGTGTATGCAAATCTAATTGGCTTTCCTATTTACCATATTTGGGCCAGAGATAGAATCAGAGAATTTGAGAATTAGTGGTGCGCGGTCCTAAATTACAACAAAAATAGGAAAAAGATAATACAGCGGACCCTTGACTTACAGACGGCTTGACTTACAGACTTTTTGAGTTACAGACTTCTCTGGCCACAAAATTTAGGTTTGACTTGCAGACTGAGATTTGACTTACAGACCAGAAAAAAACCAAAATGGAACAAAAACGGCCTGTTACGGGATTAATCGGTTTTCAATGCACTGTAGGTCAATGGAGACTTGACTTACAGACTTTTTGACTTGAGAACCGCCTTCCAATACGGATTAAGTTCTCAAGTCAAGTTATTCGATTTTTACCGAACTATATTGTTAGAGTGAAAAATAGAAAGAAAAACCACAAATTCCAACTCTTTTGAAGGTGTCCTGGCGGGTGTTCCCACTGCAGTACCTGAAGAACAACTGAAAGACAGCCTTTCAGCACAGGTGCTGTAGACAGGAGGGTGGTGATATCAACCAAAAATCTTATCTAGAAAGTTCTAAATAGTGACTTTGTACAGGTGGGGATCTATGCCTGTGATGCACAGAGACCAAGACAGAGAACAGAAAAATTGTCCTTGAAAAAGAGGGAAATTGATTCTCGCTTCCAATTTTTGTTTCCCCCCCACTGGGTCTCTTGTGGTGGGCACAAGAAATAGTCTCCTGTGTGATATCATCATCCCTCCTTGTGGAATGCCCTAACATGTGATGTAGGGATTGTTCTTCTATTTTTTTATATGGCCCATTTTAAAAAGTATAATGCTCCCCTCTTTCAAATGACTGGATGTCCAATTTATTTCTAAAATTGCAAGTTTACAGTTGCTATTATTTCAAATGCCTGCAACCACTGCTTGGGTTCATTATATTTTATATATCACTGGTTAAACATGTGACTTCATAAACTAGGTTTTTGTCTTGAAAGATAACAATGTATTTTGAACTAATATACAGTAAATACGTATTGAATCCAGATATATATGCAAGCTGTCAGGCTTTCTTTCATCTTGGGTTTAAGTATGAAAGCTTCGTCAAGGGCCTCAGAAAAGGTGTGTAATCTGAGGAGGAACCTGGAGGTTGAGGAGAAAGTTCTTGAAGCCCATATTATCATACTATATTACAGATAGAAAGTTAGAAAGTTTCTTTCTAGAGTTCTGGAACAAATAATGCAGTTAAGAGATTATTGAAGAGAACATGAAAGGCAGAGAATGAAACAGTATGAAAACAGGAGGGTCAGAGAAAGCTAGACAGATGGAAGAATGAAAGGTTGGCTATACAGAAGGGAAGGAACATCAATAGCAGAAACCCATTTGAAGAATCCAGAGAAGAGAATTCAGTAGTATCAGGAAATGTGATACACAAACTTTTAAGAATTGGTTAATGAGCATTTTAGACCAATTAATATAGTTGATTTATTTTTTGCCAAACAATAACTCAGCTTTGTCACACAAGGCTGTGATGAATGTGGCTCTAGCAAACACTTGCACAACAGACTTATCAGCAGGGTGGGAATATTTTAACCTAAAGCTCTTAATGCCTCAGAACTGAATCTCAGAAGAACTACAATCTTTTAAAGTGGGGGGAAAACAAAGATTGGGAAGCCGCCAAATGATATTAGCCTGGGGAAGGGGTTAGGTGGCAAATTGGCCACAATTTTGGCTATAAAAGACTTTTCCAGGGCAAAAAGGAGCCCTTTGGAGCCTTGGAACCAGAAACTGGCATGGGGGTGGGATACTTTCAGTTAATTTAAATTAAATATCCTGGTCACTGGCTGGTATCATCCAGCTGATGCAGTATAAATTACTAGATTTTTAATTGTTTTTATTTTAATAACTTGTGAGCTGTCTTGGGTTGCTGCATTAGGTGAAAGCTGGCATAAAAAGTGAAATAAAAATAAATAAAATGCTGTTACTACTTATTCATGACTCTCTCACTGAGGCTTTGTATCATTTCCATGTAAGCACCTTTGGAACAGAGGCTTATGGTGACTCCCTTAAAAGCTAAATATTAATGAGCCAAATGCCTGAGACTTCAGCCCTTACCCAGTGCTGTTAATCACCTATCACAGGAGTAAAAACATATTAAAATCAAATGCAGTTCATGGATCAGATTCAATTTGGTTATTAGTTTGTTAAAATTACTTACTTGCAATACAATTTTGTGTACAAGTCATGAATCATCTTGTCAGATTATTTCTGGGCTCATCGCCAATGGACAGGGCTGAAAATACTGAAGAGGTTTTCTAAGTGTCTTAATGTTTACATAGGAAGGCTTAAGGAATGATTGCCTGCCAATAAAAATTCTATGTAATTAATAGCTCCGACAGTTTTTTTTTAAAAAAGCCAATGAATAATACTGATCCTAAGTTTTATAATCATATGATGTAACTTTACTGTAGTTTCATCATATTAATATTTGGGGCTAGGCATTAATTGATCAGATGTAATTAAGGATGGTATTGGTTTAGACAAAAAAATCCCCACCTACAACAAGGTTTTCAGGACAAATTTAAAATTCAGAATATATATCATCCAAAAATTACTATTCATTCCCTTTTTGGAGGATGACAGCTGTGTTTACTGTATATTTATTATTTTATTTTTTATTTTATTTATTCGATTTTTACCCCGCCCCTCTAGACAATGTCTACTCAGGGCGGCTTACATAGGTTAAAACACATTAAAATAACAGATAAAATGCAATTATTACAATTAATACTAATTTATGCAGCATCCACCACTCTTGTATATGCAGGTTCTGCCTGCATATTCGATGGCGAACCTTTACATAAAATGTAATGCAAGTGAATTGTTAAAAATCCCTATTTAATTTTACAAAACTTGTTCAAAGTAAAAAGAGAACATCTTTCCTTCTGTTGCTTTAGAAGTATACCCTCCCCAGTCTTATAAATTAAAGTGCTGTGGTCTCATACACAATAAGGTTACTGAATGCTCACATTTTAAATTCAGTCAAGAATCCATACAAAGGTGGGAATTAAAAGCAGTTGCTACCAATACATTTCCTCAGTTAAGGTGAAGGGAGGGGAAATATTGCCATTGCTAGATTAAAAAGGAGTGCAACCGTTGCCAAACTATTCTGGAGTTCTTCTCTGTTCCATATATGCCATGGTCTCTCCTCTTTCTTCATTTAACAAAGAATATTCCATTCTCATCAAAACGTATCTGGATTAACAGTGTGCTAGGCACAAAATGCTCAACCTGCCGATTTAATTCTTCACACTGTAACAGCTAGAGCAGAACATTATTCTAAAATCACTCTTTGCCTTCACTATCAATTTTTGTGTAAGCATGTCAGTGTTAAGGCAGCAACAACAACCCCTTGATCATTAATATGCATCACTATATACCACCAACGGTTATCTGTGTTTCACCCCAAGTTCTTTGCATTATGCTCCTGAACCATGTAGTTTTCAACAGCACCTGAACAAAAACAGCAGCAGCTATTGCTAACCCAACATAGGGGGTAGAATAAACTCTTGACTTCAGAGCATATGGATACATTTCCCCCTCGTACTACTACTTGGGAGCTGAAGGCCACAATCTGTTCCCACTGTGCAGAACAGAAGATGCAGAAGGATAGCTATGTAAGAATTTTAAAAGGCCCTTAATTATAAGAATTAATCAAGGTCAAGATCAGCCATAATATGGTATTTCTGATTACTGAACTAGGATGTGAAAACTGAACAATGATAAAAGCTGACAGCCAGAAAGAAATAAAAGAAAGAATTTATTTAGAATATGGTGCTGGAGAACTTTACTGACACCATAGGCTACTGAAAAGGACTACAGTAAATGGATTCTAGATGAAGTCTCAACTCTTAGACTGAAATGAGGCTCTCAAACTTTGGACATATTAGTCATCTTTCCTTGTGCTGGAAGCAATCCAACAGTGCTTCCAGACTGGAAGGATCAGCCAACAGGGTGCTCTCATTGATCAGGGAATGCCTGATATGTTCACAGTCTTCACATTCTTCAGGAAGGCTCCTTCAGTGTTCCTCTGGGCATAGCACGAAAAGACAATTTTCTCAGGATTTTTTTTAAAAAATTCAGTGCATCTTATCTTTACATGGTACAACTCACTGAAAAACAAGACTCACAGCAAAAGTAAAAATCCTAGAAAACTGGCTGTAAGAAAAGAGAAAGCTCAAAACATGAGATAAATTTGAGGTCATAACCTTTAGTTTGCAAGACTTGAGCATGGCTTTTGGAAGGCATTAATTCATAGAGTTACCATAAGTTGGAAATGACAGCACGCAACCACAAGCAAATCACCATGAAAGAAGAGAATACCTTAAAGAGCAGACAAATTGTGAGTCTAAGAACAAATTCTTTATCAAGATTTGGACTCCCCAATAGAAAATATAAGCAGTTTTTTAATTAGGGATTTTTAAAGGAAGTGTATTTATATAGGAACAAACACAATGGTTTTGCAACTCGAGGACTGGAAAGAAAACAAAGCACAACAAATCACACAACATGAAAACGTACAATAAACAAAGCTACATTCTTCAACAACATCCAATATTCTGGGGAAGTCACAGTGTTGTACCATCTGTATTTTCCTGCTTGATCTTAGAAAAATGTCACAGTAAATTGATTTATGGCTTAATTCTGTGCAATGAAACTTCTTCATGACCAGGGATTTTCTCTGTTCTGTCAGATACTTTTACAACATTAGAATAGAAGGTAGAAGAATTAAGCTGCTAGACTCCAACGATATTATCCTAAAGCTCAAACATGTTAATCCTCTCAACAGCTTTATGAAGATAGTGGAAGGCTAAGAACTTAAACACTGATAAGATAATTCTCTCTTGTCCCGAGTTTGTTTGCTTCAGCAAAGTACATTAAATTTCAACCCAAAGTGTAAAAACCTCTGTGGTTTTAACAGAATTTATATTACTATCAGGAGCATAAATTGTGCTAATAGATAACACTCAACAAAAATGTATGAAAATAAACTTATTTTTATCAAAATCATATTAAAATGTTTTCATAGTATTAGATAGAAACCTCAGTTTGTTCATAACTATCCAAGAAAAGTAGTTATCCAAATCCTGTCTTCCCATTTCTACATGATTTGAACTTACGACTTTCTACTCCGTTGTAGGACTCTTGCTCCGTTGTAGGACAGGAGTTGCGGGTGAAATATGTCATTACCACTGAGACTTTGAAACTGAGGTCTAAGATCAGACAGAGTTAATTATACCTCCAAAGGAGGCAGGCTGCATTCATTTAATGGGAAGCAACTGCAGTCTGGAGTGCTGAGATGAACTGTTACTCCAATAGTTTGACTATGCAGTAAAGTGGTTGCTCACTAAGGCTTATAAAGTCTTCCTCATCTGATCCCTGCAACAGGCACCTGCTGCTGTTTCCGAATCCTGTTGAAGAGTTCCATATACTGAACCATGGTGTCAGCTGGGCTGTAGATGTTGTCGTGTTTATTGCCAAATACAGAAGGGATTCCAGGAGCATGACTTCCCATGAAGCTCTGCATGAACTCCATTAATAGGTTTGAGCAGTCGTTAGCTACCACACATGGACAATATTCCACCTGGCAAGAGAAACAGAAGCTCTGAAGGACAGACACAAGTTATTTTACGGGAGGGAATGAAATTTTCCATTCCAACTTCTCTAAGAATATAAGATTTCATGGCAGTGAAATGCTCATCCACTCTTTGCAGACAGTGTAGGAGACACCGGATGTTTTTTGAAAAATAAAAATATAGCTTGGGGAAAAATATAGTGAAAAAAGTGAGGTGGTTGAGAAGATTCAAGCAGCTGATCTCAGATTTTAGTTACGTACATTTCAGTTTTGGTGTACAACTTATTACTGAAATGTCAGAAAATATTCCAAAAGCAAGAACAAATAGAAAACTGCAAATGTGAATATTATAATGTAGCCCTTCCATTCTATATTATAGCAAATTGTATTTTGATTTTTTCATATAGAATAATAAGATGTAAGATTAGCTAACAGACACAAAATGCATAAGTGAACAAAAACTAATTTTATTCTTTCTAGATTTAAAAAAAAACTGAATCAAGGCTTTGGCAAGACTTTGTAGGGTGGTGTGTGTGTGCGCGCACACGCGTATGACCTGTAGCTGAAAAGTTGCAGAACTGTCAAATATTCATCTCTGGCTCACTTCTCACACTTGGCAGATGGAGTGTCAGTCCTCAGATGATCAGAGACAGTTACAGAACATAAAGGAAGTTATCTCTATAGTAGGGTGCCTTTGGGTTACATGCATTGCTACTAAATTTTGTGGTCTCTGGAACTTCTTAGAAGCTCCCTCCAGTGCACATTTTTCATTCTGCGAAAGAATCCTTCATGAAACAAACTTTTCCTTTACAATGGGGAGTGTCCCTGCACCTTAAATTGATTGAAAAATAATGATTTTAGGAAAACATGTGGACTTTTTGCTACTTCTGTTTTCAGGGGATGGAGCATGACAGAGCACACTGGCCTTGGGCCTGCTTTACTTAGTAACCTGTGCTGTGCCCTATGCAATCTTCATTTTATTGATAAAATGACAAAGCAAGTAAGGATTAGATAGCACTATGGATGTCAGCTCAACTGCAGAGCCACTGGTTCAGATGCCATTTCAATTCAGTGTAACCCACAAAAACTCTGGCTGGGATCCTGTTTGGTCAAACCGCTCATGCAATGCCCACAGTGCAGGTGGTTTTGACTTTCACAGAACTTGCACAAGGAAGTCTAGGTCATCCTTCCATAAAGGTAGATTGGGTGTTCTAAAATATTATCTCTGCTTCTGTAAGGGCAATGCTTGCACAAACAGAAGATCCTCTATCATTGCACAAGCAGATCATTGTCATCCACTAGTGCCCAACACCATCCTGACCACTTCTGCCCATGTATCTGTGAAGATTGTCGGTCATCCAGGTGAGGTTATCTGGAAACTGAGTCATGGCAACTGGACTTCTTTCTTGTTAGGTTGAAACATTTTGATGAGTAGTGAAACGTTTCAACCTAACAAGAAAGAAGTCCAGTTGCCATGACTCAACTTCCAGATTCTGCCCATATGTTGTTGTGTTTGATACTCATTATACAGCCCAGACAGAGGTAAAGGTAAGGTTTGTATTTTTTTTAAAACAGCTCATAAACAGAGATTCAGAGTCAGATGTGTTCATAAGAAAGTTTCATTTACAAGCAAGATCAGGCCTTTGGGAGTATCTTTAAAAAGTTACTGGAATTTAAATAAATACTGGGTTGTCACACCAAAGATCAGTTAGAGCATTAAAGCAATTATTCTTAATGCTTTTTGTAACAAAGGTATTAATAAGGCCCATCATTTTCATATACAGTACTATATGTAAGCAAGCAAATCTAATGATGCATATCTAGTTGTATTATATGTAAGCAAGACTGGAATAAAAATCTGTCTTTAACTGTCAGCAGTAGAGGACAATTTAAAATTGTTTAGGGGGGAAAAACACAAATGATCTGCTCGTGGTCCAGGCCAGCTCTAAGGATCAAGGAACTTTGTACCCAGGATAATGGCTTCTTGGGGCTTCTTTCAATAGAGGCTGCCATGTTTTGCTGATGGCGACCATCCTCCCCCACAACAGTATATCTTGGAACAGCTTTATTTCCAAAGTACTTCTGGGAACAAGGAGGGCAGTTAGAAGCCACCTGGTGCACGTAGGAACATTACCTGTTTGTTTGCTTTTTTAACATCAAAGGACAGGACTCCTGGATTGTTCTGGTGCAATTCCTGTGCATACATGCATGCTTTGAGTAGGATGACCAAGAGCAGTCCTTTATTTATTGTTAAATCATTATTTAAATTATAGGACTTATTTCTATAGCAATTAGTATATGCAAATAAATATCTGCTTTCCTACTCTTTTTTGATGATGTACAAGTGGCCATTATAGCTCTAGGTTTTATGCTATGGTGATATCTCCATGTGCAGCTGCTGTGTATGCCATTAGATACAAACTCTTTATATTTGGATAGTTGTTTCCTGATACAGAGAAGTGTTTGCTGTACCTGAACCAGAGCATGGAAGTTAACAAATTAAAAGCACTGCCATTAGCTGCAACACCTTCTTTTTCATGTAGTGATAACAGCAACATGATAGCTTAAAAACAATAATATGAAGACTGATAATGTCATTTTTTTGTACATGAGTAATATTTACTCTTAACATGTACTTGTTATTTTTAAAACACTGCTTTTATGGGGTCATTTGAGGCCATTTTTGCATTTTTAAAGTAATAAAGTAGTAAATAAAAAGAAACTCATTAGTAACAAAGAACATTTGTTGATAACTAATAACAAGCAATAGAAATTAACTACGTTAAAAAAGGTAACAAATTATTAATAATACTCCCAAGCACTGGCCTGAACAGAGGCTGTATAATACAGTACACTGAAGTGGCATATTTGGTTCTTTCTTTTTTTAGAGGCATCCTTACCTCCACGGATATCCCACGAGCACTTGGCCCCATGGTAACAGTGCCAACCTTCACCAAGAAATCGCAGTACTGGTACCGAGTGCCCCGGCTCTCTATCTTGTTTCCTTTGGCATTCTGAAAGAAGCCTTTCAGTTTCACCATAAGAACATCAAAGTTGGCATCTGCTATGAGGCAGGGGCCATTTTCAAAGAGAGCGAAACAGCTGAGAGGATATTCGGAATTGTGCATCACGTACATCAGCTTGGCAGCCTGCCCTGAAACAAGAGCAGCATTATTTTCGCTTCAGGAAGGATATTCCCTCTCTCTTACATGCTTTAAAATGAAACATCTGTTACATCCTTTTTTGTCCTTTGTGTTTCCAACTATTGACTCTAATACAGAATCTCTGTGTTGTGCATTAATTACTGCCTGGCACTGTTTGCCAAATAGCATTTCATAATTAACTTTATTTCCCCAAAAGAACCTCTTTCATGAGACAAGTTAACATTTGCCCATTCTAAAGTAGTATCTTTCAAATAGCAACACATATGACTTAAACCAGTCACAAGAGCACACTGAACAAAATTGTCTGGTACACTGAGGGAAAAAATCTTCAGTATAGTATGTTATGCGATGTTATGCTATGCTATGTTATGTTACAGCAGAGCTCCGAGGGGAGAGGAAGCATGCAAGCAAGAGAGAAGGAGTTGCGGAGAATTGACAGGACAGCAAATGTTTCATTCATAAGGGGTGAAAATGCTTCAGGAACCACACCCCTGTTTTAACACTAAACCTCTCTCTCTCTCTCTCCGCCTTCCTTTTCTGTCTCAACTGTGGAAAGCCTCCCCAAAAACTTCCCTAAAAAGCTGTTTTCCAGAGCTTTTTAAAGGCATGAAGGGAGGGTATCTGCCATAACTCCTGTGGGAGAGCATTCCATAAGGAAGGCTTCACTGCTGAGAAAACCTGGTTGCTAGTGGCTATTTTCCTGGCTTTTCGAAGTGCCAACACCTGCAGACACGAGAATCCAACTCACAGCAATTCATTTTACAGTCTTTGTCAAGGAACCAATTGGGTTCTAGTCCAGAAGTCTACTGCATATTCAGAGAATTATCTTTCCCTGCAGTGCTCCATTCCCTTAAAAAGGGAAGCAATGCAACTTTTCCTAGGGTGGATTTAATTTAAGTCATTATTTCAATCACTTTACAAAAGCATTTGATTTAATTTTTTTTAAAAGAAAAAGCTGCAGAGGGAGAATACCTAGGGTTGCCAATACTGTATAAAGAATAAGAACGGTTCAAGGAAACTATTAAAAACAATTCTGGTGTTTTTTGTTAAGACTTCCAAGACTGTCCAGGATTATATCATGTTGACAGAGGGCGGGGGTGTGAAGCTTTAGGAATAACTTCAGTTAGTAATGGGAAATTGGGCTAATAATGTTTGTTATATCTTTTCTCCCAGTTTGAGAACTGCAGATTTTTCCAGTTGTATGTACCAGACTACTAGAAGAGCTGGAAAGATAAACCTAAAAAAATCTGTGCGAAACGCAATGACCTCTCATAAGATTAAGACAACACTCCAAGATCACTTATAAAATTTATAGAAAATTTTGTATGAATACATTTTCAAATAATATAGAATTAAAATCTGTGTTTAACAATTCACATATAAGATCTGAAAATTCTCCAGGAACTCCATTCCTGCTTTATCACTAAGCCAAACAATTTATAATACATTTTGAAGTGATTATAATTGCATAAGGCCATTTTAAAACAAAATGCCTTTTAGCTAGAGATGGGAACAAACCTAGGTTCTGAGGTTCATGCCAGTTCATTGGACCAGCACCATAGGTGCCATGCATTTCCTTCCCCCACCCACCCTGCCTGGATCCCCCATTCACCAGCAGACGTGAACTGCTCTTCTCCTCCTCTTTGGGTGTTCAGTCAATCCCAGCAGGAGTGTGTGCTTCCCTCCTCGGACCCTCCTCCAACAGCCAGCCACTCAGGCAGCACTGCAGGAATCCCTGCCTCACCTCCTCATCTGAATGGGCAGCTGCTAGAGGAGGCAGAGGCGGGAACCATGTGCTCCTTCTGGGACTAGTCAAATGCCCAAAGAGGAGGAGGAGAGCAGTGCACGCTGGTCGGTGAGTGGAGGAGCTGGCTGGAGTGGGTGGGGGAAGGGAATGTATGGCACTGTGGTGCTGGTTCGACAAACGGGCATGAACGTCTGAACTGAGGTTCGTGCCCATTTCTAATTTTAACAATAAAAATAATATAGTTTAGCTTTAAAAATTGCTCTAAATTCTTAAGAACTGTCTTTTTAAAATAAAAAGCACTGATTATATCCATCATTTTTCTCTCTGGCATCAGGCCCATAACTGCACTCAGTTACACACTAATTAGGCAGAGGAACAAGACTTGTTCTTTTAATTATTAGATTTCCAGAAAATGGACTGAAAGGTTAACCTACCAATACCAGAGACTGAAACATATATGCCCTGGGCTCGAACAAAATCTGCATTCTAACTTCCTAGTATCTTTATGCAAGCTGGCTGGACAGTTCAGTAGTTTAGTTAACTGATTGAAGAGACAGAAATTGAAAGTTACATTCCCTACTGTGTTTTCCGGAACAGCCAACCGGTGTGGACTTGGCAAGCTACCATATATATTCCCAGAGCATCCACAGAAGAAAGAAATAGTAAACCACTTCTTTGTAGTTTCTAGCTGGAAAACCCGGAAAGGGGTCATTATAAGTCAGAATTAACTTGCTGGCACATTATTGTTGTTGTTAGGTTATTCTGTGGCATAGGATGTCAAATCTCCAAACGCTGCCTGATTCTTAAAGGAAGCAAGATGAATTTATTTAGAAGATGGAGGCTTTTGAGCTCAAGTTTTACCATTTTTTCTGTTAACTGTAATTTCTTTTAAAACAGAGCATAATAATTGTACAGTACCTATGATAGAGTAAGGGGGAGAAAATCACAACCTTTATTATTCTTGGAGACTGCGGGCAGAGTGCTAAAAAAATTCTCTTTCCTCATTCTCCTCTCTAGGGGTCCTTGATAAGGTGGCCACACAAAGAAGAGGATAAGGATCCTGTACCGTTAGTAACTACAAAGAAGAGGGGATTTCAGCAGTGTAGCCTTGCCTATTAAGCAGTGCTTGCTGAGCTTCCCCTTTTCACACAAATAATTAATGATATGGAAGCTCTATTCTCTCTTTCATTTTGGACCCTAGCCCTTAGAATGGGTGGAAAGCAAGGCAGGCAACAGCATATGAAGGAGAGATGGCTAAATGTGAGCGAAAGGAGATGCCACAGGAAGTTTGTAGCCTGCTGTTGTCACTTGCTTCACATGATGCAGGTAAAGAATGGGAAGCAGCAGGGAAGCAAAGCAAGTTCACCAATTGTGGAAAGGTGAAAGCTGTGGCCAGATTGACAGTGTTTTCTCATGGTGGGTTAAAAATGGCCAGGGGCTACCCTCACTTTGACTGGGGCCCAAAAGAGATATCAGACTTATATGCCAGAAGAAATTCTGGCAGAATCCCACTATACATCTCTAATGGCTGTATGCATTTATTTCTAATGTTCATTAGTTCCCCCCTAGCTAATAGCTCTCGGGGCAACGTACACTAAAAACATAAATGTTAAGAAGTCTCTCTCTCTCTCTCACACACACACACACACCAGAAAAAGCATACTAAAGCAAGCCATTAAAAGCACTAGAGGCTTGAAGGTATAAAAGAATTAGAGGCAAAATTATTTAAAAACACAGTATAGTATATGAAACATTGAAACCCTGGAAGAAGAAGAAGTAGAAAGAAGAAAGAAGGAGGAAGAAGAAGAAGAAACAACAACTGTTCACTGTTGCTTTGCTTTTTAATGACTCCAAAATTTTCCAAGGCAATATTCTGGGCATTCCTGACCACAGAAATCTACACACACCTATATTTTATTCAACTGCAACAGGACCCATCTTTCAAACTATGTCAGACCTACTTTCTATAGCAAAGGAAACTGCCGCAGTCCTTCCTGAGAGGACTAGTTCTTTGTGGGAGGTGTAGTTCTTTAGATGTGTCCTATATAGCAGGGATCCCCAACCCCCAGTCCACGGCCCAGTGCTGGTCCATGGGCTTCCTTGAACTGGGCTGTGGACACAGATCTCCAGCCCCCACATGTATGGGGGGGGCGTGTCGTGCTTGCGGAGGGGCGTATCACACTTTCGCGGCTCCCCATTGGCTAGCGGGTGTGCCAGCTGGCGTGCCTGCTACTGGCTGCTTTGTTCTCTCAGATGGAACATTCATTCAGCCCTGGTGGCGACAGCAAATAAGCAGAAGCAGGAAAGGAAAAGGAAAGGAAGAGAGAGGGAGGGAACGAGCAACAGCCTGTCAAGACGGACGGATGGACAGGCGCGAGCTCTCCGTGGCAGGCTGTGAAAGGAGACTGGGGGAGGGGAGGACACGCAAGAAGGCTGTTCTCTCGGCATCACCCCCCTCCCGCAGCATGTCTGGGCAGGGAGCGGAGGAGCGCCAGGTGGGAGGAAGGAGAAGCACATGGCCAGCTTGTGAGCGAGGCCCCTCCTTCACCTCAGCTGCAGACAGGATGAGGCGACGGACGCAGCAGCCTTGCCAGGTGACCCGCGAAGGGGGGGGGAAGAGAGACCTAAAGCCAGAAGCCCCAATGGTGTCAAACCCCCGAGGGAGAAAACTGCCGGGCAGGTAGACGGCTCCCCTTCTGGACATGTGGGCCCTTGGGGAGCAGGTGGGACCAAGCCCCTACGAGGCAGGGAGGAAGTCCCGCGCTTGCCATGGAGGTGCTGCTGCTGCTCCCACTCCCAGCAGATTTTGAGTGGGTGGGCGTGTCGTGCTTGTGGGTGGGCGTGTCGTGCTTGTGCACACAAGCGTGACACGCCCACCTGCAAGCTCGACATGCCCACCTGTGAGCGTGACATGCCCACCCGTGAGCATGGGGGTGCCCCCGCCACCCTGCGCACAGAGCCCGCACCCCCAACTGGTCCGTGGTCCAAAAAATGTTGGGGACTGATGCTATATAGGGCCTAATGGGCACCAAGACTATATTTCACCCAAAGACCTATGCCTCCCACATGGAGGCATAGGTCTTTGGAAACTAACAGGGAGCATGGAAACTAATAGGGAGCATGGAAACTAACAAGGAGCCAATCAAGGTGTGCCGAGACTGGGGATATGTGTACATATCTACTAGTACTGTACCTGTGATCAGTCTGGCTGCCTCATTCTGGACCTGCTAAAGTTTCTATACTAACTTCAAGGGCAGCCCTACACAGATTAGGGCTACATATCACAGTAGTTATTTTAGAGATTACTGACAAATGAACCACTGTTATTAGGCGTTTCTTACCAAGGTAGAGGTGCAGCTGGACAATCAACTGAAGTTGATGGAAGGCATTCTTGGCCACAGCACATATTAGGTCCCAGAATACAACCAAGATGTGAACCTGATCCTTTGGGGTGAATGCAACCCCCATTGAGGGCAGATAAATATCCCTCTAACAGGTCTGATGATCCTCACAACAGTAAGATCTCCATGGATTCAGTTTCAGGTTACTGGCCCTCATTCAAACCTTTATTGACAATAGACAGCACTCAAGGACTTGTACCGTATCACTTGCAGATGATGAAAAGAGGAGATGTGCACATGTATGTCATGCACATTGATGATAATGAACTCCAAATCTCCATAAACGTGTACCGTATTACTTGCAGATGAAGAAAAGAGGAGATGTGCACATGTATGTCGTGCACATTGATGACAACGAACTCCAAATCTCCATATAACTTCTCCCATCAGCTTTATATAGATATTGAAAAGCATCAGGAAATTGCCAATCTCCAAGGGACCCCATAATGGAGGTCATCTTCATATAGATATTGAAAAGCATCAGGGAAATGGCCAATCTCCAAGGGACCCCATAATGGAGGTCCCAAGAAGTGGACATAGCCTCCCCAACCTGCACCATTTAAGATCAGCCCTCAAGGAAGGACTGGAAGCACTGAAGAGTGGAGTCCCCAAGTCCCAAGTAGGCCTAAGATAACCTAGAAGATCAGAGCTGTTCCAGGTGAGTGAAATATAGGTGGGTGTAAGTTCTTTCTGTTGGCAGAATTGCTCAAAATGCTGCCTGGGCAATTCTGCAAGTTGAGAGTAAAATAAAACAAAACAAAACAACAAAACAAAAACAAAACAAAACAAAAAAACAAAAACAGGACACAAAAAAGGAACAGCAACCCTCTAACAGAGACTGCAGAAGGCTCCTTGCCTCTGACCATTATCTAGGGTAGCATACTTTCCCTCAACCATTTAGGAACCAATGATTCCAAATTATTTGCTACCTCCAATGTGTGCTATCTTTTGATCTAATCCTGATTTCATGTCCTAGTTTATAAATAACATTAACTGATGGATAGGTTGATTGTTTGGAGGAGGAATTTTTGAATGCTGGAACTTCTGTAAAGCCATTTTACAGAAAAGGTATTACATAAAGTTCTTTCCTTGGGGACGAATTAAGCCTGAAGTTCCTTAATGGACTTTAATCAGAGAAATCTGAAGGCACCAATTTATTGTAGAAAATCAAATGTTTACCTTGATTGCCCATTGTGGAGGCTGCAGTATGGTAGGTTTCACAGTCCACACAGAACGTTCCTTGTTTCTCAGCTCCGAGTAGTTCCAGTTTTCTTGTTAAGATTTCAACTGTTTGCTGGACACTTTTTCCTTCTGCTATGGGCATCTGAGACACACTAAAACAGGAGAAAGATTTTAACGTAAGACTCCCCAGCCCCAAATAATAAGGATCACAGCCATTGTAAGTTTTATAGGCTACCCAAGGAAACCCAGGTTTGTATTATTACTGTGAACTAACACAGCATTGAGGGCACGTGACACATTTTATACCAATGTAAACAAACAATACAGCTCCTGCCCCCTGGCAATTCCAAACTACATTTCAGTGGAGGGCATCAAAGGAAGAAGTGATAGGGAGACAAAAAATGAAAGTGAGCAAATGCAGTGAGCTATACTCAAGCTTTTGTGGGACTTTGTAGGAAATATGTTCCTATCAAGAAAAGGAATTCTCGGTAACTTAAAACTTTTCTCCCTTATGCACTGTCAACTTTTCCTTCTGCCTAACTATGATGAGTGAAGGAACAGAGTGCCACTATTTATTTGTTAAATTTGCCTCGTGCTTTTCCACCAAATGGAGCTCAAGCAGGGACGTGGAGAAAAGTATTTTCTTCCCACTACAGGCTGTCAGTGTTCACTCTTCCACATTACACACTAATGAGACTGCAAGATGTCCCCGTCTTCCTGGAGTTCATCTTTGCTGAATGTCAGCATTCTTTCTTCTATAGAAACTTTTGGAAAATGGATAGTTAGAAATAAACAAAAATTATGTCAGGCATGTAGTCACAATTGTCATTTAAAGGTGAATTGCCTGTGAATAATCATAAAATATTGTATTTTCAGAAGGACATGAGCATATGGAATGAAATCTTTTCAAAGGATAATATCAGTCTGGAGGATAGGGATCTTTTTCACAAAGGTACCTTAAAATGAACTGTTTCAGTCTGCAGCACTGCTTTATATAAATCTTTCGACTGCCACCTTTTAAGTTTTTGGCTTTGTAGTAAAAAAAAAATTAAGCAAATGCCTAAGTTACAGGACTTGTGTCTCTTTGTAAGCGGAATAGCCCTACAGGGTGGTTTATATGTAATACTGAACTATGACCTAATGCTATGAAAGCCAGCTGTCAGCAAGAGGTCAATGGCTTACATATAGAGATGTATTCCCTTTCTTAGTCTGAGGCAAACTACAGGTTGATTTTACACTACTGTATAGCTTGTACTTCCAGGCAAACTAGGATTGGAAACTAGCATCTGATCCCATTTCACTATCAAGTTTGTAAGGCAGCTGCAATCTACAGATAAAGTACTATCGCCTTCAACCAGGAGCAAAGGTAAGGATTTGTCTTCAACATGGGGAAGATGTTGGAACCAACCGAAAGTCTTGGTAGGGACAAATCACATTCTTACACGAGAAATCAGGTTCACAATCAACTTAATGAAGAACTTCAGCTCTGATTCTAAACACCAGCAGGGTATAAATTTATTTATTTATTCAATTTATACCCCGCCCATCTATACCGAAGTCTACTCTGGGCGGCTAACAAAAATACATAAAAGTAAAAGCAATTTAAAATAAAAACAACAGTATTAATATATTGCAATACTTTGGTAAATTCAACAAGACATGTATTACAAGCATGCATATGCTGGTAGGCTTTTAATTAAGATGCCATTATTCCTCTGTAGAGCAGTGGGCAATAAATTATAGCAATATACTCATTCTGATATCCAGAATTTATTTTAGTTAAGAAACTCGAAATGGTGAATAAGTGGGAACTTTTAAAGACACAGTAAACACAAATTGAGAGAGAGAGAGAGAGAGAAAGAGAGAGAGAGAGAGAGATGCTAAAGAAAACATGAAAGAGCTAGTGTATCATACTAACTAAATCAGCAAAATTTGTCATACCGTGTAATTATCTGAGATGAAGAGAAAAAAACCTTCCTATTTCAGAGCCATTATAAGTACAAAAACAGGTTTAAGAATAAGGCGGCTGCACAGTCATCTCTGGCAAGCAAAAATTATAATTAGGAAGACAAGCAGGGTGACCCAGAAACCAGGAAAATTATTGTTCTCCCCAGCTACAGAGATGCTACGAACTGCTGATACAAGTCAGAAAGTGTGCTGGTAAAAAATAATAATATCAAAAACAAATCAGGCATACTAACTTCCACGGCCTCATTTGCAAGCCTGTATAATACATTTCAGCGAGAGCTGCAAAGGCCACAACATATATAATCCACCTGCTTTAGATCCCCCACTCCACATCTTAGATTTGTGTGTATAATCACAGAAGTTATTCTAATGCTGTCCTGGTGAAGGCACACAAACTTCTATTGGCACAAATTATGTAGCATAACTATGATTAGCCTATGGGTGGGAACTTATTACCCTCCAGATGTTTCAGACTACAACATATTTGACTACTGGCCATGGTAGCATGGGTTTATGGAAAATGTGCCCCCAAACATCTGATGGACACCACATAGCTAAAATGTTGTATGAGAGTACAGTTTGTTAGAAGAGAAGTAATGCATGCAAGTATTCCTTCTCCTGTACAAGTCTGCCCTATATAACTGAGATTAAAATGTGACATTCTTCTCAAGACCTTCTTTTCAGCTGAAGAAGCTGAAGAGGAGTTACTTGCTTGACAGCCATTCTTGGTTACAGTTGGTGAAAATTTTATTCAAAATAGCTTTTAATGATAACACACCCTCTTGCTTCCCAGTCTAGTGTAGTGGATACAGTGCCAGATTAGGACTCTGGAGATCAGGATTCAAATCCCCATTTGGCCATGGAAACTCACTGAAAGAGTGGAACTGGTAAAATCACTCCTTAAATATCTCACTTACCTTGAAAGCCCTATTAAGGTCGCCATAAGTTGGCTCTGACTTGATGGCATAGAACATGCACATAGTTTTATGTAGCTGACTTGTGCATTATGGATAACAAACTCTAATGCGGTCTGCATCTTTCCCAACTTATATCTTTCCCAACTTATACACCCCCATGTAGTGCTGGAGGAAACCCATCTTGCCAAGAACTTTTGGACTTTTCATCTAAAGAAAACTCTACTGACAAAATTTGTCTTGCCATGAACTGCTGGACTTTTACCATATTTTTCTGTGTATAAGACACCCCCATGTATAAGACGCCCCCTTTTCTAACCTAAAAGTAAGAAATCTAAGTGGGACTTAGCAAGTGTAGGGGAAAAGGGATGAAAGCACTGCAGGATTGCTTTGATCCCTGCTTTCCCTTCCACTTGTTTTTCTTCTCTCCTCAGCTTACGTCCGTGTATAAGAAGACCCTCAATTTTTATTCTAAAGATTTTACACAAAAGTATAGTCTTATACATCGAAAAATACTGTAAGTTCTTCACACCGGTCTGTATATGTCTGATGAATCCTGATCCACAAAAGTTAGCAGATTTTATGAATTTCTTTTTTAGTGGTCTGTAAAAGTATTGCCATTTGTATTTTGTAATGGCCACATAGTTCCTTTTCATTTCAATAAGATTATTTTAAATAACAAAAATTTGCCAGTCTCAACAGGGTGCAATAGTCTGAAAATCAAACTGAAGCCAAACTTCAAATGCTACTCTGACATAAAACTCACTGGGTCAGCCCCTTTCTCTCAACCTACTCTACCATAAGTGGCTGTTGTAAGGAGAATATTCAGTGGATATAAAAAGTTTACACACCCTGTTAAAATATCAAGTGTCTGTGATGTAAAAAAATGAGACAAAGATAAATCATTTCAGAACTTTTTCCACCTTTAATGAGACCTATGAACCATACAACTCAGTTCAACGACAAACTGAAATCTTTTAGATGGAGGGAAGCAAAAATAAAAAAACAAATAATATGGCTGCATCTGTGTGCACACCCTTAAACTACTACTTTGTCAAAGCACCTTTTGATTTTATTATAGCACTCAGCCTTTTTGGGTATGAGTCTATCAGTGTGGCACATCTTGACTTGGAAATATTTGCCCACTCTTCTTTGCAAAAATGCTCCAAATCTGTCAATTGCAAAGGTGTCTCCTGCGCATAGCCTTCTTTGGATGACCCCACAGATATTCAGTCGGATTCAGGTCTGGGCTCTGGCTGGGCCATTCCAAAATGTTAATCTTCTGGTGAAACCATCGTCGTTTAGTCATGCCCGACTCTTCGTGACCCCATGGACCAGAGCACGCCAGCCCCTCCTATCTTCCACTGCCTCCCAGAGTTGTGTCAAATTCATTCTGGTAG